AGGGTAAGCCCCTGGTGGGCCACGAGATGCTTTGTTTACCTTGAACGTCCGCAGGTACAGCCGCTTGCAGCTCCCAGTGGCCACGGTTCGCCATTCCCGGCCAATGGGAGCTGCAGGAAGCAGCGCGGACCAGGCCACCGCTTCCCGCAGCCCCCATTGGCCAGGAACGGCGAACTGCAGCCGCTGCGAGCAGCTGTACCTGTGGACGCTCCAGGTAAACAAAGCGTCTTGCGACCCGCCAGAGGCTTACCCTGAACAAGCCATGAACCAAGTTTGGGACCCACTGATACAGTGGATATTTTCTGTCTTATTATCTATCCCTTTCCTTATGATTCCTAACATTCTGTAAGCTTTTTTGACTGCCGCTGCACATTGAGCAGATGTTTTCAGAGAACTATCCATGATGATTCCAAGATCTCTTTCTGGAGTGGTAACAGCTAATTTAGACCCCCTCATTTTTTATATATAGCTGGGATTATGTTTTCCTCTGTGCATTACTTTGCATTTATCAACATTCAATTTCATCTGCCATTTTGTTGCCCAGTCAACCAGTTTTGTGAGATTCCTTTGTTACTCTTCACAGTCAACGTAATTATGTTGAATAGTTTTGTATGATTCGCAAACTTTGCTACCATTCTGTTTCCCCCCTTTTCAAGCTCATTTATGAATATGTTGAACAGAACTAGTCCCACTACAGATCTTTGAGGGAACCCTGCTATTTTCCTCTCTCCACTGTGAAAACAGACTGTTTATTCCCATCCTTTGTTTCCTATATTTTAACCAGTAATTGAGCCATGAAAGAACCTTCCCTCTTATCCCATGACTCCTTCCTTCCTTAAGAGCATCTGGTGTGGGACCTTGTCAAAGGCTTTCTGAAAGTCCAGGTACACTATATCCACTGGATCACCTTTGTTCTCATGTTTGTTGGTAACCTCAGTTCTAATAGAATTCTAATAGAGTGGTGAAGCATGATTTCCCTTTACAAAAGCCATGTGGACTCTTTCCCAACATATCGTGTTCATCTATATCTCTGATAATTCTGTTCTTTAATATAGTTTCAACCAATTTGCCTGGTACTGACGTTGGGCTTACCGGCCTGTAATTGAGACGATTGCTTCGGGAGCCGTTTACAATTGACACATCAGTTTGGGACAATTCCTCAGATTTATCATCTACAAAGAATGCCTCAGGTGTGGCAATCTCCCTCACAGCCTCTGCAGTGAAGACCAATGAAAAGCATTCATTTAGCGTCTCTGCAACAGTCCTAAGTGCTCCTTAAGCAACTTGATCATCCAATGGCCACAGTCATTGTTTGACAGGCTTCCTGCCTCTGATGTACTTTTAAAAAAAAATTCCTATTAGTTAGCGTGTCTTTTGCTAGTTGCTCTTCAAATTCGTTTTTGGCCTGCTTAATTATACTTTTATACCTGACTTGCCAGAGTTATGTTCCTTTTGCTTTTCCTCAGTAGGATTGGCCTTCCAATTTTTAAAGGTTGGCTTTTTGTCTCTGTTTCTTTTACACTGTTGTTTCGCCATTGATGCTGGTTTTTTGGACCTCTTCCTGTTTTTTTTTTTATTTGCAGTATACATATGAGTTTGAGCCTTTGTTATGGTGTTTTTAGAAAGTTTCCATACAGCTGGCAAGAAATTCGCTCTTGTGATGTTTGTTCTTTTAATTTCCATTTAAAAGCATCCCCATTTTTGTGTTGTTCCCCTTTTAAAAGTTAAATGCTACTGTGGTCGGTCTCTTTGGTATTTCCCCCCCTACAAGGATGTTAAATGTAATTACATTATGGTCACTATTACTGAGCGGTTCAGCTATATTCACCTCTTGGACCAGCTCTTATGTGTCACTTAGGACTAAATCAAGAATTGTCTCTCCCTTGGTGGGTTCCAGGACTAGCACCTGGCACTGGCTACTGTCAGAAGACAGGTTACTGGGCTAGATGGACCTTTGGTCTGACCCAATATGGCTGTTCTTATGTTCTTATGCTCCAAGCAGAAGTCATTAACAGCTTAAAGTCTCAGTTAAGCTGTCACCTGACCCGCCTTAGTCCTGCCCCATGAGGCTGGAAGCAGCTAATTAATTATGGCACAGGTGTGGCTGGCCCCAGCTCCCCTTAAAGGAGGCAGTCTCCCTGAGACCCCAAGAAATTGTGCATGTACTGAAGTTGAAAGTGGAAAATAGTAAAATTACAGTACATTGTAAATAATTTTTAAACACCCACAGTGTGCTTACCACTGTATATGACACAGATAAGGACATAGTTGCAGAACCAAGGGCTTTACAATCTAGATAGACTGGGAGAATTAAGAGGGGAAAAAAAGTCTGGCATATTTAGAGAGTTGGATAAGATTAAAGATAAGGAAAGTCCAAATACTAGTCCCCTCTTTCCACACACACATTAATATGTGTAGACTGTGAGCAGCATAGTCCATTTGAACTTTGAATACATTTTCCTTAAGAAGAGGAGAGATACTAAAACTTGTCATGTCATGACAGAGTGGACAGCATTAGAACTATTAAAATATTGGTCAGCCCCATATGCATTATACGTTAGAAATTAAAGGGAAATAGGAAAGTCCCTGCAAAGATGTGTGCCAAAACCACATTTCTGTGTCCCTGGTCTGTGTGGACTTTGATTTTCATGTTAAAAGCTTCCTGTTTTTCCACAACCTTATAGTGTTCTTTGTGAATGTCAGGAGAGTAAAATGCAACCTATTCATTTTTATTTTTATTTTTTAAATAAACAGTGAAGTTAGCATTTGAACAGATGAGACAACAACATGTTTTAGAACGCGCAGGTGTGAGGATCAGGAAGTTACATGGGGTATGGTGAAGGAAGGGGCCAGTAGAGAAAGGGAAGTGTGGGCTCTTGGGTGTTTTGTGGCTGGCTGGGAAAGTACTGCTACCAACAAAGTTGTTCCTGTGGCTCAACATGCCTGCAGCAAAAGTACGTCGCTGCATCATTGACAATGATCTGCAGAGACTGCTGACCAGAGGAAGGCTGAGAGTAAGAAAGTGGGGACCCACAAGAAATCCTTTATGTAATCTCTTTTGGCATAGACCATATTTCTTGTATATTAGCATAATGATTTTTTGTTATATGATTAAATACAAATCCATTCTTCTGTGTGGATCCCACTGTATGTATGCATGCATGCCATGTGCATGAGATTGAAATCTTTGCACAGCTGTGTCCATTGGACCTGTGTTCTGTATGTCTCTCCTCCCCAGCCGTGGGCTTAAACCATCAGTACCCTGTCCCTGCCCATGGCAGCAAGAAAGAACCAGGCTGTGTCTGCTTGCTACCCTTCACACATTCACCAAACCTAGTTTTATCTAGCTAGGTAAAACACTAGATTCCCTCTCTCCCCCTCCTGCCCCTCCCCCGCCACCTCTTTAACAAAAAAAAACCCAAACCCTTATATTTCTCTCAGTACTCTGCACCAAAACCACTTACCTGACAGATGTGAAGCATTTGGGCTTCAATCCTGTCTGTTTTTTGACAGCCTCATTCTTCTTACAGGTGAACATAACCCTTGTTTAGTTGCCTCAGCGAGAGCCATGTGCCTGACTGTTGCTCCATCTGCCATTTGTTCTCCTTAAAATAAGGAAAATCTAGAGACATCCGGCTAACATAATATTTGGAGCAAACTAAAAGGACTACTTCAGACTCAGAAGAACAGGCAGCAAACTCCCAGATGGGAGCTTCTACCTCTAAATCCCAGTTTGTCAGCATCCTCGGCTGCTGAGAAGTGACTCCAAAGACCAGGAGCGGTAAGAAGTTTGATCTGGCACCTACAGGCCATGAAGCAGCCACCAAAGACAGCTCAGCACTGATAGTTGTCCAAAGACAAGGTAGATCAGAGCACTAGATCATATATGGTTACTGGCACCAATCTTCCTTCCCTAAAAATGGGAAATTCGAGAGGCTTAAGAAGAACTATTCACCTTCACTTTCCTTCAGAGAACTGAACACAAAGCCCTCTCTTACTACAGGGATAAGTACTACTAGTCCAACTTCTGGCTCAGCACTGAAGGGCCCGAAGAATATCCTGGGCCCTGCATCCAGTACAGATTTGTCAACCCTGAAAATGGCAGTTTGGACACTCGGGCTGGCACCAACAATCAAGCACTAATGGTTCTGGCTGACTTATTGCTGTTGGAAGTTACCTCCCCTAGTACCTTCATCCAGCACTGACTCCAACATCTAAGTTTATAGTACTCACATTACCTCACAGATCGGCACTGCCATTAGAGGAGATCTATTCCTCCTCCCACTCTCCTGACCAAATCATCTCCCCTCATGGCCATGGCTCAGCAGTCTGTCTTGGGATGACCTTGCCAGGCAATCTGAAGGCCTAGAGGTCAAATTACAGTCTACCACCCCCTAATGCTCCCCAGGTTCCCCTGGTCAGGCAGAGCTGCAGAGGAAAAGGGGTAGGGGCATCCCAGCCCAGGATCCTAGGGGAAAGGGGGAAAGGGAATCGCTAGCTGGTACAACTACCCAGCTTCCCCTGTGCCACTTCCTCCCCAGCCCATTCTCCCCTGAGTTTGGGGCATAGTCATGGCACTCAGATTCCCTCTCAGCAGAGGATTACGCCTTCAGCCTCAATATTTAAAACAGTCAGTTGGGTCTTCCCAGCTCGCTTTCCAGTGTCCACTTGCTCCCCCTTAGAAGGGATGAAGAAAAAGGGGGTCAGGCATTGGCTGCCCAGTTGGGACTTACCCAGTCCAGGGTCTTCCCCTGTAAATTCCTCTGTCCTAGAGGCTTCAACTAGCCTATCCTTCCCACTCCTCCTGCTTGCCTCTCAGACTCTCCTTTTAAGCAGGCCCACCATTTGGAGCATGCTTTGCAGCTGCTGAGGGGCAGGGCCTTCTTGGCCCAGTACTGCCCCATTACTCTTTGAGTCTTAGTGAGGGGTCTGTAAACCTCATCACAATGTAACACAGCACTCAACAGATACAACAAATTCACAAAACACACATATTTAAAATGGCTGAAAACAATCTTTATTACAGAAACTCCAACAGTAGAAAAGTACAGCACATACATGATTTTCATAACTAGGTAATTATGTTGGGACCCATTGATAATGGCAGGATAACAGTTAAGGAGATAAGTCAATAAGCTAATGGTGTCTGTATTCTCAAGAAGTGCATTTAAATCTCCCACCCCTCTCCTTGCAGCTATTTGCAGCCAATTTTTATATTGGGCTTTATTTGCCCTTTGTGAAGGAAATAAAGCTTTGCATTATTATCTTATTGGCTTTTTGGCTAAGAACAAGTATGAGCTTGGTATAATATGTGATATGCCCTTTCTTGTTAGGTTGTATCTTGCATTTGCAGTAGGATGTAGTACATGATCTAGACTGTGATTTTTAGTTGAAGCCTAAGGGAGTTAGGGATTTTAGCAGGGTGTTTTTGTATCTAGTTCTATGATCCAACATTGTGTGCGAGATGTTGGAGAAGAGGTGGACTTTGGCAAGGAACAACTATGGCAAAGAGAAGCGGGGCCGCTCGGTTAGGTAGCATTGTCAGCACTGATGATCCGTTCAGATGAGAAAAAGCAAATAGTAGAAGAAACGGATGGGGTTAAGAGTGGTATTAGTGTGACAGCATGTCCAATATACAGAATATTATACGGTCAATTCTTAAAAATCTCACTGCATGTTACTCCTGTGCAACCCGTACTTTGTATGGAATGTTTCCTCAAACAATACATTTAGCAACAAAACCCTGCAACCAAGAGCCACTAAATCTGTAGATTTCCCCCCACTGAAGCTGGAAGCTCCTAAGAAAAGCATATGAACAATTACTCAGAAGAGAAGCCACGCACCAAATATTAAGCTAAATTCTGGCAGGAAATGAGCATAAGTGCCTGCCAAAAAATTGCATGCAGCAGCTCAAGCAGCAAGTTTGCTGCCTACTCTTACTTCCCATAACACTCAAGGCAACACTTCCTGACCAAGCTATTGCCCCTACCTACATCTCTACTGCCATTTGTTCGTGCTTCTTGAAAACATCTGTTCCTGGGATTGAGTAGATTGGGTGTTACTGATTGTCAGAGAATGGGTTCACATTGAGGGCCAGATCCTCAGCAACTGTAAAGCAGTGAAGGTCCATTGACTCCTCAGCTGGTGTAAAAATCACTGTATCTGCACTGGCTTTTTAGTTTGTATAAGTGGCCATAGCGTCAATGGCTTCAATGACTCTTTGCTGATTTACACCAGCTATGGATCTGGCCCTATGGCTGCATTTGCATTGTACACTGCATCAGTGCCAGTTGGTACAAATCTATCATTTTACTCATTGCAAGGAAAAGGATTGCATTTAACTTTTTTTTTAAATAAAAAAGACCCTTCCCCCCCAACACGGAAAAAAAACAAGATAAACATAAACTCAAACATTATTCACCACTAACAGTTTGATTTATAACTCTAGTCCAAAGTATGCAATAGAATGTATTTATTTTGCATCATCCATAAAAATGGCACAGGGCACTGCACAATGAAACACAGTTAAATTATCAGTAATCAAGACTCGTTAAAGCAAGAGTAAACAGGTCTCTCTTCAACTGGGTATCAAATGTTAAAAGACTGAATAGTAACAGAGTTTCCCAGGCAAGGAGCATAACAAGAAAATGCTCTGGTTCCCATTGATACAAGATTAAAAACGGGACAGACGAGGAAACCCAACATTTGAGATTCTAACAAATGGCTAGGAACATACAAGAAAGGAGATCAGTTAAGTATACTGGGCTGCAGCTATTCATGGCTTTAATTGTGAATAAAACAAACACATTTTATACATGCATAACTTTAGAAGGACCCAGTCAGAAAGGTTTACAGCCTGATCCCGTGAGCTGCTGTGCTCCTTCAGCAGCCCTCAGGATTATGCCCTTAAAATGCCAGTAACATGCTGGGAGAGTAATGGTTACATTGCATGTTCTTTGTAAATTCAGTTTTCAAATTTATGCTCTTCCGTATAGTAACCCATTTCCTACGTATGATCCATAAACTGTGTTGTAAAAACAACAGTTGAATTTAAATAGGCCACTGAAAATCCTCTTTCTGAACACAAGTGAACTGTATTAAACCTGTTCCCCTTCTTCTCAGTTGCAGGTAGCTCAATAAACTGACCAGGTACTTGATTTCATAACTAGATACACATACTCTGGCGTTTTACATTGTTCTAACAGTGTTATTAGAAGGAAAATTATGGCAGACTTGAAATTCTAAAATCTTTTCATGAAATGATTCTCATTATTTATATGAAATTATTTTGATCTACTAGATTCTCTGGTACGCAGATGATTTACGCTTAAGGCAGACTGCATAGAGGATGAGTGCCAGGATGCCGACGATAAAGATCACGAAGAAGCCAATCGCAAGAAAAATGATGTTGAAGTCAGCTGCACACTCCTCCACTAGAAGGGGAAAAAATATGTTAGGTAAAATTTAGTGATGCTGACACTGACTGAATCTGTCAGCCCTTCATGAAGTGATCTTTGAATACTGGAACATTAGAATCATTTGATCAGTTGTAGTCGTTTGAAAGGACCCTATCTCTTCTGCTTATTACGCTACTTTACAATGATATCCAAGTACCTCTCCTTTTGCTGACTGGTTTTAAATTTAGTTTGATGCTTTTGTGGATTTAAAGGTGCTGCGGAATGGTCTTTCATTTTTACAGGCAAACCGAAAGAACATTTCTGGTAATGAACAGTTACTTTCATAGACAGATTTTAAGGTCAGAATGAATCATGATGATCGTCTAGTCTGACCTCCTGCATAACATAGGCCAGCCCCACATCACAGCATCCATGTGGAGGGAATTTTTCTCCCTTAATGTGTAAGTGAGAAAGCAATTAATGGTTTAACTAAGCAGTAGTAAAATATCAAAACAACTTTTAAACTTTAAACAAAATGGGCCAGAGAGTGATTTGAATTACCCTGGTGCAAATCCAGAGTGAGTCCACTGCAGTAAATGAAGTTACTCCAGATTTATGCTATTACTTAACTGATATAAAATTTTGGCCCAATGTTATCTATTTATTATTGCATTTTTTTCAAACTAAACTAAGTGATCAGGAATTCCTTATACAGCACGTTTTTCTAGACTCCCATCCTGCAGTCCTTATCCAGGCAAAACTCCCACTCACAGCAGAACGTAGCTCATTACCGTTATTAATAGGGAGGGTTTTCACTGTTCTCTTATTTTATACTGCTCTCTCATTTTAAAATATTTTCATATTTAATTTCTCCTCACTTTGATGTATTTTGTCACAGTGGGTTAGGTTTTTTGGTTTTTGTATGTTTGTCTTTTTAACTTTGTAAATCTTTTGTAAGATGAAGATTTAAATCAACCAAAACCCCTCACTTTAAAATCATCTTAAAATCAATTACTGTATATATCTCTCAATCACACGATTAGTAGGAAACAGAGACCAAAGCATTCCATACAGCATGCTTTAAAATTAAGCCAAATTATTTCCATGTGCAGATCCAGCACCTCAGTTTACAAGCATGAGATTCATCCTTGTGCAGAGGGCCTACACACCATTTAAGTCCCACAAGAACCTTCAAAATGTAGCTTAAGTGGGTCTTCATTTGTTCATAGACCTTTGTGGGCCTTCTGCAGTCGACACCATTTAATATTAAATATTCACCGATGGTGTGTTTTTAATAACCCGAGTGTCTTCCTATACTTAGAATAGGAGAAAGCACAGTATCATCATTACCTCAGCATGGCAATTGTTGAGTTTTATGGCAATCACTGTAACTATTCTGAATAGGAAGTGATTTTATTCAGGAGCTCCCAAGAGAAAACATCTTAAATATTGGTCTCATTGGATCCCTGAGCCCACCTGAACTCACCCCTGCCTTAACCTACACATATACAGTAGAGTCTCAGGACACTACCCCATGTTTTCTGCCCTTCTGTATTAGATCTCTCTATGCTGTATTGTGACATGGGGTTAATACTGACATGCTTTTTATAGCCACAGATGGCTCGTTCTATCCCCCTGGAGCCGACATTTTAAAAGAAATCCACTGTCTTAGATATATTTCTTTTTCCTTTTTATGTTTTTTTAAAAAATGGAAATAAAGCTCCCAAGAAAATAGAAAATTATCCAGCATTTAAAATCTGCCTCTGGAGTGGGCATCAAAGCAGCCCGATCTGCCTGTGAAAGTGCTACAGCACTAATATGTATCTCACATTGCCACAGCAGGACCTGTTTAGCCAATGGAATTAGTAGGAAAGAGCAGAGACTAATATAATACTAGCCCTAATGCTCATAGGGTGAGTGTGCACATTTTTGTGGAGGGGAGCAGAGGCAACCTGTCCAGCCATGATGATTCTTGTCATAGAATCACTGAATATCAGGGTTGGAAGGGGTCCTCAGGAGTGCATCTAGTCCAAGCCCCTGCTCAAAGCAGGACCAATCCCCCTTCTGCACACGTGGCTTCCCATAAGAGCATCACTGAGCACTGGTTCTACAGAATCTCCTGTGAATATAGACTTAGTCCTGTGAGAGAGTGTCTTACATGCCCAATAGTTGACCATCTCCTTAGACCCTAACAGCATATCCCTAAACTCATCCATTTATCATTTGTTCTGTCTTCTTAGCACCCATAATTTTGTTGGCTCTTTTTCAGGAACACAATAGATCTTAAGTGTTACCTCTTCAACATATTGCATGCTAGCTTTAAACACATGGCCTCATCTCATTTAAAAATATAGCTCTTTGACTATAGATTTGACAACTGGAAGCCAAGATTCCCAAGGCCTCTATACTTGCTACGCACATTTTGAAGTGTGTGGGCAATTCAGATGCGTTCATATCCTCTATTTGGCTTTCTTCTGGAAATTAGCCCGAAGGCAAGTACAATGACAAACAATCCCAGAATGCTCAGGCCCAATGCAATAGGGATTGTTCTCCTGTTTCTGTCAAGAGAGCATTCTTCCTCTGCAATCAAAGTTAGAATATAGAGTATGCATTAGATCAAAACAACACACTCCTAGAATATATGCCGATGTAGATACTTTCAAGAACATAGCTACCGGGGACAACCCAGAACTCTATGTCATTGCTGAACTCAGTAGGTTTTTCTTTATGGAGGGATCACATCTCACAAAAACATACTTGCCTACTTGGAAATAGCTATATTCTTTGTGGAGAATCTGTTCTGCTTTATCACATACACACACACAAAAAAAATCTGATACACATTTAGGGCTTGAACCTGTGGAGTACTCCATGCATACAGTGCCAGATTAAAAATAATGAGCAAGACTGGTATCTGACATGAAGGAGAACCTCTGCTGTGCAGCTTTCGCTTACTCCTGCCTAATAGTCTGCCTGGTGCAAAGGTTGCGGATCTCTCGAGACATCTAGATAGACTTACGTAGTGCTAGGGAGGAGCTGGTGGTCATGGTACATGTAGGTACCAATGACATAGGGAGGGATAGGAGAGAGGTCCTGAAGGCCTAATTTAGGCTGCTAGGTAAGAGATTGAAGTCCAGGACCTCCATGGTAGTAATCTCTGAAATGCTTCCTGTTCCACGTGCATGGCCAGTTAGACAGGCAGAACTGCAGGGTCTCGATGCATGGATGAGATGATGGTGTATGGAGGAGGGGTTTAGATTCATTAGGAACTGGGGAAACTTTGGGGAAAGGGGGAGCCTATACAGGAAGGATGGGCTCCGCCTAAAGCAAAATGGAACCAGATTGCTGGCGCTTAACTTTAAAAAGGTCCTAGAGCAGTTTTTAAACTAAGGGCTGGGGGAAAGCCGACAGGTGTGGAGGAGCACATGGTTTGGACAGAGACATCCCTTAGGGAGGATCTATTAATGGAGATTCTCTATGTCCTAGAAGGAGGAGAGGATGGAAGATGATAAAATACAGGTAGGATCTGATGAGAAACAGTCAAATGAAAAAAAGTCCCATTCAATTACATCATGTAATGGCAGACAGCTAAAAAGTAGCAAGTTTTAAAAGTGCTTATACAGAAATGCTAGAAGTCTAAATAATAAGATGAATGAACTAGAGTGCCTCATATTAAATTAGGATATTGATATAATAGGCATCACAGAAACTTGGTAGAATGAGGATAATCAATGGGACACAGTAATACCAGGGTACAAAATATATTGGAAGGTCAGAACAGGTCGTGCTGGTGGGAGAGTGGCACTATATGTGAAAGAAAGCATAGAATCAAAAATGAAGTAAAAATCTTAAATGAACCAAACTGTACCATAGAATCTCTATGGATAGTAATTCCATGGTCTAATCATAAGAATATAGCAGGAGGAATACATACAGACCACCTGACCAGGATAGTGATAGTGACTGAAGTGCTCTGGGAGATTAGAGAAGCTATTAAAATAAAAAACTCAGTAATAATGGGATTTCAACTATCCCCATATTGACTAGGTACATGTCACTTCAGGACGGGATGCAGAGATACAGTTTCTCGACACCTTAAATGGCTGCTTATTGGAACAGCTAGTCCTGGAACCCACAAGAGGAGAGGCAGTTCTTGATTTAGTCCTAAGTGGAGCACAGGATCTGGTCCAAGAAGTGAGTATAGCTGGACCACTTGGTAATAGTGACCATAATATAATTAACTTTAACATCCCTGTGGCGGGGAAAACACCACAGCAGTCCAACACTGTAGCATTTAATTTCAGAAAGGGGAACTACACAAAGATGAGGAGGTTAGTTAAACAGAAATTAAAAGGTACAGCGCCAAAGGTGAAATCCCTGCAAGCTTCATGGAAACTTTTTAATAGAGGGTCAACTTAATAGAGTTAAGTATATAACTTAACTCACCGTAGAGGGTCAACTTAAATGTATACCCCAAATTAAAAAACATAGTAAGAGAACCAAAAAAAGTGCCACCATGGCTAAACAACAAAGTAAAAGAAGCAGTGAGTGGCAAAAAGGCATCCTTTAAAAAGTGGAAGTTAAATCCTAGTGAGGAAAATAGAAAGGAGCATGAACTTTGGCAAATGAAGTGTAAAAATATAATTAGGAAGACCAAAAAAGAATTTGAAGAACAACTAGCCAAAGACTCAAAAAATAATAGCAAAATTTTTTTTAGTACATCAGAAGCAGGAAGCCTGCTAAACAGCCAGTGGGGCCACTGGACGATCGAGATGCTAAAGGAGCGCTCAAGGACGGTAAGGCCATTGCGGAGAAACTCAATTAATTCTTTACATCGGTCTTCACAGCTGAGTATATGAGGGAGATTCCCAAACCTGAGCCATTCTTTTTAGGTGACAAATCTGAGGAACTGTCCCAGATTGAGGTGTCATTAGAGGAGGTTTTGGAACAAATTGATAAAATAAACAGTAATAAGTCACCAGGACCAGATGGTATTCACCCAAGAGTTCTGAAGGAACTGAAAAGTGAAACTGCGGAACTACTAACTTTACTCTGTAAACTATCATTTAAATCAGCTTCTGGACCAAATGAGTGGAGGATAGCTAATATGACACCAATTTTTAAAAAGGGGCCCCAGAGGTGATCCCGGCAATTACAGGGTGGAAAACTTGACTTCATACCAGGCAAACTTGTTGAAACTATAGTAAAGAACAAAATTGTCTGACACATGGATCTACATAATTTGTTGGGGAAGAGTCAACATGTTTTTTGTAAAGGGAAACCATACCTCAGCAATCTACGAGAATTCTTTGAGCGGGTCAACAAGCATGTGGACAAGGGGGATCCAGTGGATATAATGTATTTAAATTTTCAGAAAGCCTTTGAGAAGGTCCCTCACCAAAGGCTCTTAAGCAAAGTAAGCTGTCATGGTATAAGAGGGAAGGTCCTGTCATGGATTGGTAACTGGTTAAAAGATAGGAAACAAAGGGGAGGAATAAATGGTCAGTTTTCAGAATGGTAAATAGTGGTGTCCACCAGGTAAATAGTGGTGTCCACCAGGGGTCTGTACTGGGACCAGTCCTATTCAACATATTCCTAAATGATCTGGGAAAAGGGATAAACAGCGAGGTGGCAAAATGTGCAAATGATACAAAACTACTCAATATAATTTAGTCCCAGGCAGATTGCAAAAAGCTACAGAAGGATCTCTCAAAACTGGGTGACTGGGCAACAAAATGGCAGATGAAATTCAATGTTGATAAATGCAAAGTAATGCACATTGAAAAACATAATGTCAACTATACATATAAACTAATGGGGTCTAAATTAGCTGTTACCACTCAAGAAAGAGATCTTGGAGTCATTGTGGATAGTTCTCTGAAAACATTTATTCAATGTGCAGTGGCAGTCAAAAAAGCGAGCAGAATGTTGGGCATCATTAAGAAAGGCATAGATAATAAGACAGAAATATCGTATTGCCTCAATATAAATTCATAGTACACCCACATCTTGAATACTGCGTGCAGATGAGGTCGCCCCCCTCTCAAAAAAGATATATTGGAATTGGAAAAGGTTCAGAAAAGGGCAACAAAAATGATTAGGGTATGGAACGGCTTCCATGTGAGGAGAGATCAATAAGACTGGGATTTTTCAGCTTGGAAAAGAGACAGCTAAGGCGGTATATGATTGTGGTCTATAAAATTATGACTGGTGTGGAGAAAGCAAATAAGGAAGTGCTATTTACTCCTTCTCATAACACAAGAATTAGGAGTCACCAAATGAAATTAATAGGCAGCAGGTTTAAAACAAACAAAAGGAAGTATTTCTTCACACAACGCACAGTCAACCTGTGGAACTCTTTGCCAGAAGATGTTGTGAAGGCCAAGACTATAACATTGTTCAAAAAAGAACTAGATAAATTCATGGAGGATAGGTCCATCAATGGCTATTAGCCAGGATAGACGGGATGGTATCCCTAGCCTCTGTTTGCCAGAAGCTGGGAATGAGCAACAGGGAATGGATCACTTGATGATTACCTGTTCTGTTCATTCCCTCTGGGTCATCTGGCAATTGGCCACTGTCAGAAGGCCTCTTATGTGATGCTTTGAGTACAGTAGTTTCCTCTGATCAATTAAATCCTTTACATATGATCACGAATCATCACAGCTCAGCAGCCAATCCAGTTTACACCCAAAATATGCTAGTGTCCAAGTAACTTTCTTCCACTGTGAATTATGCCTAGTACCTTGGGCACAGCAGGAAGGAAAGATGTTGACTGTCCTCCAAGAAAGGTAAAAGTCTCTCCATGTCTATGACATACAATACTAAATCACAGAGTGTTAGTAAAACTGTATGATTCTTTTTCCTGCTGTTAATCTTAACTTCAATTCTTTTTAACCTCCTGGTAATAGTGTCTGCATTGCTACAGGCTTTGGTGACCTGTGGCTTGGTTTAATCTTCTCAGCAGAGGGGAATCTTTACACCAGCAACATGTAACTAATCTGGAGCATATTCTGGAGTATAAAATGTCATCTATAATTCCAGAACTACCACACTGCTTATCCCCCCACTCCTGATCCAGTTCTTACCTGATCCTGTTGGTGGACTAGCTCGGTGGTTTCATCTGGTGCTGGGTGCCACTTTTTTTAAAAGTAAGCCTTTGGTGAATTCAGGACTGTATTAAAGCTACGCAGCTGCTGTAATCTACATTCAAACTCTCCACAAGTCTGCGGATGTCTGGATCAGGGATGTCGGTTTGGGGGCAACTCTGGGTTGTGAGCACTGAGAACTATTTCCAGTATATGGAAGTGTGATTCAAAAGTAACTTTTAGGGGTTTCCAAACAAACCAGAACAGGCCAAACTCCTCCCTAATGTAACTCCATTGTGGCTTATACAAAATCATAAGTATCTTGAAACCCACTGTCACTCCTGCTGGTGTTTTCTTTCTTCCTTTTTTTTTTTTTTAAAGATAAGCAAATCTGGTGCAATGGAAGTGAAACTGCACTGTCTCAGAGACGTGACGTAAGAAGGCAATTTGTGTGGCTGCTTTATATAGCCAGCTTTCACTGGGGATTTTTCATGCATCATCTGCATATAGAACAGTATGTAACTTTCTCATAACTGTTTCTTAGCCATTGGGGGAATTCTTTTAACCAAAGCTACCTGCCTTCTGGCCTTTTGGCTAAGATCCAATATAACATCATTTTGGAGATGTCCTTGATTAGCAGGCTATCTCCTGTTATAGGGAGACAGACTATATGATCTAATAGGCCTTTTCCATGTGTTACCATACCAAAATCCCAGGTCTGAATAAACCTCTTTATTCTTTTGGGTAGTTCAGATCTGAATTTGGAGACCAACTATGATCCACATCAGCTCAGTTTTGTTGTATGGAAAAAACCTTTGTCAGAATGTGTTTACGTTAAAACAAATGCCAACTAAATCTTGCAAATTCAGCTTTAATTTTAAGAACTTTTAAAAATACGTTGGGGGGGGGGAAACGTGAAGAAGATGATGTCATAGGGAACTGCAGGGGGTCCATGAAGAACCCAGTATAGTAAATGTAGTGAAGTCCCAATCACTTCATTGGACCGGGCATGTTGTTAGGATGATGGAAGACACAACCAAACAAGGCATTTCTTGGAAGGACATCCTTGTGGTGTCCAACCTCATGGCTAATAAGGAGAAGATGGAGGGATAACAGTGAGCAAAGTATAAGAGCTTTTAATGTGAATTACCCTCAACTGGAAAAATATGCCCTTGACAGAAAGGGATAGGGACAAATTTTGAGAGTGACCAAGGTCCTCCATAGTCTACAGAGCCAGGAAGCAGTAGTAGAGAAAAACACACAGTTTCCCACTGTATTACCTTCTATGCATAATGAGAAGTACTAGCCTGCCTGGAGGAGGAGGAGGAGGAGCTGAAATGCTGAACTAACAAAGGAAGAACAACAATTTAGTTTTAACAGAGTCAAAAGAGAAAATTAGACAGGGAAGGGGAATCAAGGAAATGATCTTTTGAAAGCAAGTAGAACATCAGAGGGCAAAGGAAGAGCTATGCGCCTTTTCTTTTAATGTGTGTAAATGGCAGGAGAAATGAGAAATCTGCTTCAGTGCTTAGGTTTGGGTATGGTGCCATTATCATAGAATATTAGCACCTTATATGAATTAAAAGCAAAAGACAATAGTGATCATCCTTTCTCTTTCTTCTGAGTGGGTAGCACTAAGCTACTCGACTGGTTTGTGTTTGCATGTCTGTATACAAGAGGAGCTTGTTCAAGGAACGCCAACTTGAAGAGATGAGCTTTGCATTTAGTGTTGAATATAGGCAGGCTGGTGGTCATTCTTGCTGGACCTTTTCTGATAGTGAGTTCCATAGTCTCTAGGTCAAGACCTACTAAAAGTTCCATCTCCTGCATGCCACAGGTGTTCCCTACTGGATGGCAGTTTCATCATTCCAGTGAAGTGGAGCTGTTGTGGGAAATCTTGGTTCTAAAGGGATAGATGTTCCCCAAGGTAGCTAGTCCCAGAGACAGCTTTGACAACAGAGACCTTGAAATGGACTCTGTATATGTAAGCAGTGTCAGGATGAGCTCCACCCTGACATCTGGTGGTGAGGTGTGGCAAATTGTGGAAAAGAACTTCAGGGGCCGATCTCATTTGCATAGGCACACCCACCCCGCCTAGAATGAGACCATAGCTGCCCAAATGGTCACTTTGGCTGCTGTGGGATCCCCAGTGTCTCTGTTATTGGGGCAGGAAGAATAAATTGTTATTACCCTGATTATGGGAACTGTGCTTGGAACTGTACGTGGCCTTTTGTTATGATGGAGGGATTCACCATCAACTAAGTAGCACTCGCTAGGCAAGGGTCATGGGTTCCAAAACTGTGTGAATGGAGAGAGGCTGGGGACAAGTATTAATACTTGGTGGCATGGGCCCCTTGGTGAGGGCCTTACATGCTAATTGCACTTCCTCCTCTCTCCACTGTGGAATATCAGAGCTAATTTTGATTTCATTAGAAGTCTAGTTATAGGCTGCTGAGCTCACTTTGGGCTGACAGTGCACCAGCACTGGGGCTCCCCTACTACAAGCTGAATTCACCTAAGAGCTGAAATCACTGAGTGTTGTGTTAAGTAGTGGGGGAGCCTGAAGATATATTGTGGAGCAGTTTGCGGGACGGCTGGTGAAGCAGTTCGACGCGGAGCAGTGTGTGGATGGCAGGAGCGGCTTGTGGGCCGTGGAGCTGAGCGAAGGAGTTCGTGGGGCGGCTGGCGGAGCGGAGCGAAGGAGTTCGTGGGGCGGCTGGCGGAGCGGAGTGCAGCTGAGCGAAGGAGTTTGTGGGGCGGCTGGCAGAGCGGAGTGCCGCTATGGAGCTATGGGGCGGTCAGCTTCAGATCACGTAAGGTGCCTCTTACCCCCGTCCCATTTCCACCCAGGTTGGGAGGTAAAGCTCCGCAGATAAACTTTCGAACTCTGGGGCTGCCCTGACCAGGGACAGAGACTTTTGGGGCATTGGACTTTTGGGACTTTGGGTGATTTGGGGTTGCTGGACTCAAGAACCAATGGGAAAAGGGCATGCCCCAATTTGCCTGGGGTGGGTTCTTTTTTTTGCTCATGGGTTGTGTTATGAATCCTGTTGGTGGTGTTTCCCCAACATAATGCCACATTGTTTCTCTCTGTTATTAAAAGGCTTTTGCTACACTCAGACTATGTGCTTGCGAGAGGGGAAGTATTGCCTCTTGGAGGCGCCCAGCGGGGGTGGTATATATTTGTCCCAGGTCACTGGGTGGGGGCTCAAGCCGGTTTGCATTGTGTTATTGGAATGGAACCCCTAGATATTGAACCCGGCCCTTGTTGCTGCCAACTCTGACGGGCAGAAGGGTTACATATACAATGGGTAGGAGGACAGGAAGCCAATGCAATGGTTGTAAATACATTTCTAGTAGCATTGGGAAAGCAAGAGGAGGTGGGGTATAGAACAGTCTCTGAGAGACAGGTATGGTCAAGGATGGTAAATTTTTAAGGATGAAGGGAAATAGAGCATGTTTATAGGCAGAGGGAAAGGAGCCAAAAGTCAAAAGAGAGGCTTTCTGCTTCATGCCCTGGCCTGAAGTATGAGTGGGAGAGACCGATGATACCAACAGCTGGCAGGTGGAAGCACTGGGGAAGCAGTTTGCCTTCGAGAGCCATTACTTTACATTGATTTTCCACATATTTAACAGAGCCACCATATCTCCAGCCTGCCAGCCCACAGTGAGAAAAGCCTCCTGGCTACATTAATAACATTGAAATGCTATCCAGTTGCAAATCTTTAGCTCCTGGAGCCACAAAATAAGCCTGAATGAGCTAACTCTCTAACATACCTTTCCCAAACTGGTTACCAACAATGGCAAAGGCTTGGAGTTGGGTGTTAACAGTGAGAAGCTGGAAGTTGTCTGCCAGGTTCACCATCTGTTTGCTGAGACACTTAAATGAATTCCCCATCGTAGCTGTAAACAGCTGCTTGCTTGTAACATTATGCCATGAACCTGGAGGCCACAAAGAGAGAGAGAGAGAGAGACAAATTGGAAGAGACAATAACTCTATGGAAACATTTCTGAGGATGAGTGGTGGCTGATTCTAAAGAGCCTTTGTTCCACAACGCTTTGGGAGGGCAGTAGCCACTTCTGTGGGTGCATATTGGAACAGTCTTTGTGTCACAATGTTTATCAGCCCCAAAGATGTTTTTTAATGGCTGCTTTAATGAGCAGACCTTGGGAAGATGAGAGTTTGGGATGGGTTTGGAAAAGCACACAACAATTCACATGCTTCTTCAAACCTTACCTGAAATTCTCTGTGAAAATTGACACTGAGGGTAGCCCTAGATAGGCATGTCCTTTGGGCCTGCTCCTTCTTTCCCTTTTGGTGTTATTAATCAGAAGTAGCTCCATTAAAGTCAATGGAATTCTCATACGTGAGAAGATAATCGAGCACATAAGCTCAGATCCTGAAAGGCATGTAGGCACCTAACTCCCATTTAAATAAATTCCTTTGAGGATCTGGGCCATAGTCTCCAGCGCTATCAGGACACCCCTGCTTGAATGATTACTTTAGTTTCATTCTTTTTCTGTTGGCCAGAGAATAACAAGCATGAATCACAAGACTAATGAATAACATGTGGGTCAAAACATATGTAAAATTAATAATAAGGAAAATATATAATGATGGCGCAGGATTCATCACTTTGACTAAATAGCATTCTCTCTAGAATTGTTTTCCATGAGTTAGCACCTCAGATGTCACTCATTTATGGTAAAGCTGTCAGCACCAGGCCTGTGTGAGAAAGAGAAAAACTTGGGTCTGTTGTGAAGATGGGTCAGAGACAAAATTACAGATCTTGACACCAAGAGTTATTAAAAAAGAGACTGGGTTAGGATCCAAATTTTACAATTGGTTCTTATATTTACACTGGGCCAAACCAACATGCCTGACATGACCACTCCTACACTTTGAGGTGTTTGGAAGCTGTATCCAGATCTGAATTTCTGTGGTGTGTGTGCTTGTTTCTGGTTTATAAGTCACAACATTTCTGGTTTACAAGTGACAAAGTTTATAAGTCACAAAGTTTCTCTCTGGGTGCAGATACAAAACTTTCCCAAAGCTGAGTGGTATTTGGGTTTGGACCCTTCTCCAGTCTATATCAAGGACAGTTGAGAGGTATAGGAATGAGTTGGAGACCCAAGTAGGAAAAAATAATTGTGATGAGTTAACTGCAACTTACTAACATCTTTTTGATTTTTAAACCATAAAAGTTTAGGTAGAGGCTAACTTGAAAGAGTGACTAAAATACAGTCACCTATCAGCAAAATCATGGCTCTTAAGCTAAGGCAGCCTAAATCCACCCTCAGATATGTAGACCCCAGATATGTAGAAAACTGAAAATAACTGATAAGAAAAAAATCACAACAAAATTAAATCAAGAATGGTTTGGAAATGAAATTAACACTGCAAATATAAAATACACAAACACTTACCCACGGAGGGTATCTTTAAGCTGGCCTCAACTGTACTGATGTAATAGATTCTATCTTTCTGCAAAATAACAAATGAATATCATTAGCTGCCATTGCGCCTTAATGTTTGTGAAATATAATACACCGTATACTGCAGAACAGGGAAGACAAACCCAGCAAAATGGACTCACGGAGGATATGAGAAGAAATAGTTATTGTCTTGCTAAACAAAGCAGGTGTTTTGTGGAAGAAACTTAAATTCCATTGCCCTGTGGTGCTTCGAGTTTATTATTAATTTTCCAGATGCTTTACAAAAGCAAAAAGTCACAGGGCCAGGTTATCATCTGGTGTCATTTCAGTTCTATTGATTTCAATGGAGCTGTGCTGATATATAGTGATTGAGAGTCTGGCTAACAGTCCCGGCCCTGAAGAGTTTAGATTCAAATTTGACACAACCCATGAGGGTCATTAAAAATAAACCAAGGGTGAACGAGGAAAAACGGGCTAAGGTAGCAATGACGAGATCACAGAATTATTCAAGATGGGAACATATCAAAAAAATCCTCCCATCAGATCCTGAGACACAACTCCCTCAGCCATAGGGACTTTATTTTAACATTCTGGTGCCGGAGTCTGGTACAAGCACCCTGCCATATACACTGCAGCTAATGCTCAGTTCAGTTTAAGTGGATCATGTGGGTGTGATTTGCAGGTGTTGTATGTGAGTATAAGCCATATATTTTCATATGCAGTGTTGTTGTAACCGTGTTGGGCTCAGGATATTAGAGACAGGATAGGTGAGGTAATATTTTTTATTGGACCAACTTTCGTTGATAAGAGAGACAAGCTTTAGAGCTTACACAGAGCTGGCCTGAAGAAGAGCTGTGTAAGCACCAAAGCTCGTCTCTCCCACCAACAGAAGTTGGTCCAATAAAAGATATTACCTCACTCACCTTGTGTCTACACATTCCCCTGTCATTTGTGGTAATCGCATGTAGGTGAGGGTTCAGCAAGTTTTTCTATTACACAAGTTAATAGGCACACAATGAGACCTTTTATTTTTCTACCCAGGTTCTGCTTTTATACTTGGAGGGAGAATCTCCACACTGCTGTCTTTAGTTGAATTTATGTATGACTTACACAGAGCTGAATGGTGGCTTTAAATCAGTCTCACGGCAGCAACTCCTGGATTCAAGGTGCTTGGGACAGGAAGATGTCTGCAACAATTTGTGCATTTCCACTGTGAGTAGAGATCTCCTCTTTCCAGTTTGGGTTTTGCTTACCTTCCATTCAGTGTAACAACAATTTCAGATAGAAGCACATCGCAAAACAAGAGAGGAAACTGTAACAGGAATGTTCCTTTCTATAACTTCTGTAATTGCTCACACCTCCCACAAGGCCAGCTTGATTTCACAGGCTTGCAGCTTTGTGGAGTGGAAAATACCTGATATTGTGACAGCTGACTGTGGTATTTTCAGCTGACCATCCTGCATAGGTATTGCACTAAAGCCTTGTGGAGTGTGATTGATTGCTCTGCCCTGGAATCCTCACGGAAATGAGAGTTGTATCTTATGAGGCTATTCCCAAGGAGCAATATTTTAAATGATAGAAACACAAGTTTCAGGTTTAGAATTTGGACCTCCTCTTGCAGCCCTGCTGCGAGGCTGAATTACTAGTGGCTTCAGCTACAGCTCTGTATGGAAGGACTGGAGGGTTAGACTGCTGGATAATTGCCAGCTGGCAACTATTCTCCTCTTGTGCTTTTCCTTCTCGAAGTAAGGAGAGTCTTAAGGCTCACAGGTTTCACCAACAATAATAGAAAATGTGTGAAACTCCATAGTCAGAAAAAGAGGAAAAATTATACCATTGCTCTTTCTATAGCACTGAAGATTTCAAGCCCTTTACAAATGCCATTTACACCTCATAACACCTTTGTGAGGGAAATATTAGAATGCCTATTTTACAGATGGTTAAACCAAGGTATAAGAGGGCTAATGATTTGCACAAGATCACACAGCGAACCTAGGAATGTTGACTCCTAGTGTCCCACTCTAATCACTATACTCCAGTGAGAAGCAGTTGTCAGTGAAGTTCCTGACAGACAAGTGTCCATATCACAAATAAGTTGCCATCTCCATTAGCAACCTTGCATTCTGTCCAGACATGGGACCAATTCTACTCTGAGGAATAAAACATCTGTTCTTACTGAGCATATGGGTGGTACATTACAGGCCTTCCTGTTTTCAAACCCTGTGCAAGGACACCTGCATGTGGGTTCATAGAAGCAGCTACTCATTTATCTGTCATCACATTTCAGCACTGCAGACATGTGACTTGAGGGTTTAATTCTGCTCTCGGTTACACACTGATGCAAATCAGGAGTGACTGGAGCTATACAAGCATAAAATAGGGTGACCAAACAGCAAGTGTGAAAAATCGGGATGGGGTGGGGGGTAATAGGAGCCTATATAAGAAAAAGACCCAAAAATCAGGACTGTCCCAATAAAATCGGGACATCTGATCACCCTAGCATAAAACCAGTTTGCCTGTGACCAGAATCAGTCCTTGAGAGTCTGAAGGTTGACTGTACCAGACTGAAACTGTAGCAAACTGAGTTCTGAACAGCTCATATTTCAAAGCCCTGACACCCTTGTGAAAGCTTATCTTTAAGTGAAGGATAGATTGTGCAATGCTGTGCCATTAATCTCATTGTTCTGGGGGTGAGAGCATGCACTACTCCCAAGGTTTCATATCAGTATCCTTAGTGCTGCTGCTCCAGCTGACGCTTATATGTACTTGAATCACAGGACTTGGTCTAAGGATCCTTGCAGGGTAGGAATGCAGCTCTCTGAGTGCAAGGAGAACACATCCAAAACAAACACTTAAAATATTAACCGATCCTTTATTTTCAAACATTTACTTTGTATATTTTCCTTTGCCTCACATTTATTCCTCTTTCCTCTGCAGTTTTAGAAATCTGTGTCCAGTCAACCAAGGGAGAGGGTTATTCACCAGAATCTAATATCGTCACATTAGCCAAATATTAACAACTTTGGGCAAGATCCGTAGATGGTATAAACTGGCATTGCTCACTCCAATGTCTCCAACAGACCTATGCCAATTTACACCAGTTGAGGATCTGGCCCTTTGTCCAAAGGTGAATTGTGAATGTTGGATGATTAACCACTTGCATGTTCCCTAACACAGCTGTTGCTAACGAGGGCCTAGGATGATTTCCCTGACCAGTGTGGAGGACAGAGATATTCTGTCCTGGAAGACTGATTGAATCAAAATCAAAGTTTTGGTTTCACCCATTTAATAGGTAAGGTTCAGCTATGAAGCTCAGACCCAAACCCAAATGTTTCCAAAGTTCAGGTGTGTTCAGATTTGGGCCCCTCTTCATGTAACAATCTTGTGGGTTTGTGAAATTAAATCACAGAGGCAGTTGATGATGTTTCAGTTTTATTACAGTCTCTTTTCCATTTTAAAGACCTTTTGTCGACTGCCTTGTCCATTGCATTCATAGTACAAACTTCTCTTCGTAGCACTTCTGGTGTCACGGCACAATCCCTGTTGGCCATCATAGAATCTATTCCCTCTGCACACCAAAACCCTAGGCATGGGTGTCCCATATAAACCAGAGTCCCTTGTCTCTTTAATTGAGGGCCCAGTGCCAGATTCCTGACATGCACACAGATGTATTTATTCAGAATAACATGGTCACTGACATGCCATACTGTATTCTACATAGATGTTTGGAATAGAGATGGCCCCAAACTAAACCCCGGACCCAAACACCTCTGAAGTTTGGTGGTGGAGGAAATCTGAATTTGCAAATGTCTCCTCTCTTTATAATGGGCCAAACCAAAAATTCATGTATAAAAAGCCCCATATTTTGAGCTGTGTGAAATCCACATCCAGGTTTTGAGTGATACCCTGTTGTAATATCAATACTTCGCCTTTCTCTAGTGCCTTCAACCAGAGGATCTCAGAGCACTTTACTGACAATAATTTATTGAGCATCAGAACACCCTGTGAAGTCTTTGCAGATGGAGAAAATGAGGAACAGGGAGATGAAATGACTTGCCCATGATCATGCAATGAGTCATTGAGTGTGCTGGCTATAGAACCGAGGAATTGAATCCCAATTCCCCAGCTCTGACATCTGCCTTGCTGTAAAAAATTAGAGTGCAACAATTACCTTTACAAAGGTGAAGCTTATAAAGCCTCCGTTAAAAGTTAAGTTCAGATTTGATTGCAGATTTCCACAGCTTCCAGATGTTTGTGTGATGCTGGGATCAATATTGAAGTATCCCTTCTTCTGCTGTGGAGACAAAAAAAATTCCAGTGTAGCTCAGTTAGAGACAAAACAAACTAAAAAAAGAAATACACAGACACTTAAGAGCTTTCTGAAATCGAATCGATAAGTCTGGATCAATAGCCTTGCGGTTGATTACGATGCAAGAGACCTTGGGCTGCATTATCCAGTCTGATCTCGTACTTCCAGGGACTTAGCACTGCAGATTGCTCTGCGTGTCCCTAACATCATTTCTGCAGACCTGAACTCTAATCTGATTTGGGTCCCTTTAAGGCTGAGAACACTTCAATTTAACCCTCTGTGGACCTTTCTCACATAATAAAACAATGCATCGCCATCTGGTAAGGAGATACCCTGGAGCAGAATAGGTCTGCAGGTTAGAAACAGGGTCCTTTAGTGGTGTGAGGTGCTATGCTTAGCTTTGGACCATAGTGAGTAACATATACTTTCATCTGCACTTAGCAGTCAACACATTTAAACAACATTTAGAATCAAAATGAAAAGGTTTACAATAGTAAGGATTAAAAACACAAAACAAGAAACCATTTGCTTTGGAAAGGATATAAATTCCAATGCTTCATGGTATAATCCAAACCTCTACTTAATGGAAATTAGGACAACCTTTTCCATATGGGCAGGTTATTCTGTAACCAACTAGTATGGGGTTTCTTGCATCTTCTTCTGAAGCATATGGCCCTGGTCACTGCCTGAACCGTTGGTCTGATCCTCCTGGCAATTCCTATGATTCTACAATATCAAAGAGCCCAAATCAAAGACTTCCATCTTCGAAACACTAATTGATAATTTCTCATCTCTCTTATGACTCTCCAGTTTAAGCATCTTTTTAAAACAACTCAGATTGTAACTCACTTACAATTCTGGGAAACAGGTACACTTCTTACACTGATGTCTAATTTTGCGGCATGTGATAATTGATGGGAATTGCTTTGAAGGAGGCAGGATAAACTCAAACTAATGAAGAAAGATTGGTACAAGCCTCAGATCATGTATCTCTTTAATGCTAATTAATATTGCATCTCACCGTCTTAGAATTTTGAACAATCAGCTCCAATCCCATTGATGCTTTAATGCAGTTCACACTTCCATTGGAAACATTGTAGGCTCCAGTAGTGGGTGATGATGTATTAGGTGCAAGGGTGGGCTCCACAAGGGCTGTCGTAGCGGGTCTGGTTGTTTGATTCCCTGGATGAATGGTTGTCATGTTGGTTCTGGCTGTAGTTTTTGCTGCTGTATGAGTTGTTTGTTTAGTTGGCTGCGTGGTGGTCTTTACAGCTGTCTTCTTGGTTGTTGCTGTAGTTGTTACTGCTAGGGTTGTAGTTTGATTGGTTGGTGATGTGGGCTTTGCAGTTGTCTTCTTAGCTGCAGCTGTAGTTGCTACACTTGAGTGGGTTGTTTGGTTGGTTGGCAGTATGGTTTTCTCAGTTCTCTGGATGGTTGTCTTGTTAGATGGTTGTCCTGTAGTTGTTACTCTTACATGGGTTGTAGTTTCATTGGTTGGCAGTGGGGGCTTTGCAGTTGTTTTCTTACCTGCTACTGTAGTTGTTAATATTAGATGGGTCACCTTGCTGGTCAGCTGGGTGCTGTTTTCTCTTGCTTGCGTTGTCATGTTAGGGGCCGATGCTGTTGTTACTGGATTATGGTGTGTTGTTTGGGTGGCAGTGACTACAGATGTTCTTTGGCTGAATGGGGTAGTTATAATATTACTTGTCCTGCTGGAGAAAAGTGTGGTGACTGCATGGCTAGAAGAAGTTATCTGATATGGGGAAACTGACTGAGCAGAAGTAGTTCTCTGTAGGAACAAAGTAGATTGTGGGGTTGATTTGAGCTCCATCTCATAATTCCCCACATCAGCATGGCAGGATAAAAATGCTGCAAAGGAGTAAACAGGTCATTAGACTAGTAACCTTCATTGCTTAGAACCTGTTGATATCTACAGTATCCCTCTGGTTTTGTAATAAGAAGTCTGATATATTTTGATTCCTCCTGTCACCCCATTTATAATGCAAGAAACAGAGCTGCCGTTCTGTAGAAAACTCCTGTTAAAGAATCCTTTTATAACAATACCCTAGTCTGTTATATTGTTGCTAACTGGAGAGTTATGCAGCTTGGCACATTGGGACTTTTCATTCTGAAGCGTGACGCAATGGGGAGCAAATAAACACCATTAAAATAGTCACAGGACAAACTCTCAGAACCACGGGTTTGCTGGGTGCTAAAGATCTGGGATTTTGATCCTCGTTGCAGCCTTTTTCTAGGGAGGTGATGGGTTTAGCTGAATAAGTAATGTGAGGGGAAACAAGAAAAGAATAAAGGTATTTTTCAGGTAGGTCCGGTCTTTTTATCAAGGAAGAGGGAAGGAATCTGTAGAAGGTATGGGTTTTCATAGCATTCATCTCATAACAATCTGTAGAAGGTACAGATTTTCATAGTAATCATCTCATAACATTTTGAAAGCTGCGGTTATTTGTGTAGTCCTATTAGTGTGGAGAGAATGAGGGAAGGGCATTTGCTCCATTGCACCAGCTGGTCCCTTTGGACCCACTGGGAAGGCAGTGGGGACCGGAAAACCCAGATTTAGTCGGTGCACTTGGTTGTTGCTATTGCTGGCTGCTCTGGGGGAAGGATCCTGAGGGTGTGGGACTTCCAGGGTCTGCCTCTGTCTGGAAGGTGGATGGGGAGGCCACTGAGGCTGGTGCCCCAGGCAGGTACCTCTTGTCCTGCTTCAACACAGAAATAACCTCCCCTCTGACTGTACAGCCCCATAGTTGTCACCTACCACCACACACTAGAATCCATATGGGGTATCATCAAACAACTGCAACCCATAGTCGATGGGGACCCATCCTGAAAAAAGTCTTTCCTGAACCTCCTTTTCTGGCCTTCAAACAACCCTCCAGCCTCTCCAAGCTCATCCTCAGAAGCAAGCTCCCCACAGACAAGGACCCACCAACGCAAAGTAGCACCAGACCCAGATGCAACAGACGCCAGAACAACAAATGCAAAACCTGCAGACATATCTCCACTGCTACAATGATCAACACCCTCCCACAGCACACCTTCCAAGATCCATGGATCTTATATATGCCTATCACAACATGTGGTGTACCTCATCCAGTGCACTAAATGTCCCAATAACAACCTCATGGGTGAAACTAGACAATCACTACACCCTCAAATGAACTCATGCAGGAAAATGATAAAAGACAAAAACACCATCTCACCTGTGGGTGAACACTTCTCACAAAGTGATCACTCTATAGCTGACCTATCAGTCCCCATCCTCAAAGGAAACCTGCATGACACGTTCAAATGATGAGCCTGGAAGTGTTAATTCATTACTCTGCTAGACACTGAAAATCATCAACTGAATAGAGACACTGGATTTATGGCTTATTACAACAACCTGTAACCCACTAACAACCCCCGCAACCTGATCTCTCCCGCCCCCACCCTTACTTTCCTTCCTATGACTGGAGGGGTGTTAATGGGCCACATCACCTTGAATGGTCCCTTGAAATATGTGCTAACTACTTATGCTAACCCATCTATAGTTAGCAGTACTGTAAGTAGCCTAACTACTTATTCTAAACCTTGTATTTAGCAGTGACACTTTGAATTAGGCCATTGTCCATACTAGCGAGTTTACAGCAGCACAGCTGTACCCATGCAGCTGCGCCACTGTAAGATCACTCGTGTAGCTGCTCTATGCTGACAGGAGAGAGTTCTCCTGTTGACATAATAAAACCACCTCCATGAGCAGCAGTAGCTATGTCAGTGGGAGGAGCGCTCCTGCCGACATAGTGCTTTGCACACTACCACCTATGCTGGCATAATTTATGTCACTCAAGGGAGTGGAATAGTCACACCCCAGGGAGACATACGTTTTGCCGACATAAGTGGTAGTGTAGATAAGGCCTCAGTTTCCCAGACCTGAGGAAGAGCTCTCTGAGGCTCGAAAGCATTTCTCTCTCACCAATGGAAGTTGGTGCAATAAAGCTATTACCTCACGCTCACCATTGTCTCACCAGTACCATAGGCAGCCTACAGTGTGCACTGGGAAGAGGGATTTTATTATCCCTAGATGGGGCATGCTGGCCAAGGACAACAGAAAAGGTTAATTTCATCAACATAGCACTACACCTCTGATCAGGGCTCACTTTAAGAGGAGGATGACAGGATCAGACAGGACACCTTAATGGTCAGCCATGTAGCCGCTAGTGTTGGGGTCCAGCAGACAGACTATAGAAGCTTTGGTCCTGGCAGACTGCCTCTCTATTCCCAACCCCTTGCCATCTCCCCCCCCTTTTTTTTAACTGCTTAACAGACTGGGTCTGGGCAGGTCCAGCACAACTCCAGTGCAACAGGTGAAATGTCTGTGAGAGACAAAGTCCCGAGGAATGAGTGCAAACAATGTGTCTATACTGGGCAGCCTACGCTCAAAAAGGGAAGTGGTGCACTGGGAGATCCAAAGAGGGATCCCAAGGAAGGATCAGGCCTCTAAAGTAGCTCTCCTTCAAGAGAAACAAGGTTCAAAGTCTAATGTTATGTTGCTTTTTAGTAAATATCTAAAAAGATTCAAAGGAGCAACAATTTTTCTCATGGGATGAGATTTCAGACTTTGTAACATTTACAGAAAGTTTATATTGTGCCTCTTGCAGAACCTATGAGTTTGCTACAATCTCACCACTTGTGCACCCACTCCATGCACACAAAAAAAGCTCTTCAGCTCCTAAATCTACACAAGCAATTTAAAAAAGTACATTCTGAAGTATGAAAGGGTTGTGAATATAACTCTGTGTGTGTGTGTAGGGGTGGGGGAAGAGTACAGGCACTGTAAAAACAAAGGCAAGTTAAGAAAAGTCATAAGTGTCCTGCTCAATTATATATTCCCTGAAGTGCAACAAATCCAGGAAGTAGGTGAAGTGTTTTCCCTTCTTATTTAGGTGAAATTGCAGAACAGAAATCGCTTCCCCATTACTGGGAGAGCAGATACCCTTAGGTCCAAAATGATTCATGTTCCACGCAAAGCATGTGGTCTATGAGTGAAGATCTTCACTAAGTTAGCTGAGAAGTTTATTTTAACTTAGTCCATCTGGAGGAGCCATATATAAGAATCTGCACCCAAATTATACAGAAGATGGGATATGAGATTCAGATTCTAGGTTAAATCAAGCCTAGAGGAAGGTTCAAATTAATTGGTGCTGGAATCTCATAAACTGTTCTTATGTTTGTTTGTTTGCCCAAAATGGCAGAACATCTGATCTTTCAAAATGTCCACCATCATAGGATATATCCAAACTGGATCCAGAAAATAAGACCTTTTTGGTTTTGGATCCAGTCTCGAACCAAAACAATTGGAGTGGATCCAGATATATGGGACTGATTCTGACCCCACTGCTACCCCCCCAAAAATAATTGTGAAGAGGAGTGAGGGTTGTGAATTATATGCTCCAGATTAGCCTTGCCTCTAATCTTGACCTGTTTTCATTTCAGTATTGAAAGGACTATATTTCACTTTAGTTCTAACTATTACTATAACCTGAAAATACAATTCAATGCAATAGAAGGGCCACATCTAGTTAGCATGACTGACATCTCAGATAATAAATATTTGTTATCAGTAGTGATCTAATTATGACAACATGCTTTTATAGTCATATTTGAACTTATCTTCCCAGTTCAGACTCTCCCGGACTTTAATTTATTGCTTTCACAGCAGTTGTATTATCCCCTTGCTTATGGTCATATTGACCATGGCCCATAGAGAGCAAATGCAGTTGCTTCGTTCTATCTACTGTGATGGAGTATGACTGCAGGAAAGTAGTGAGAAACAGGTATGTTAGCCCCAAGCTAAACAAATCCCTGTTACCATGGGAACCAAATGGCAGTTGCTCCAGGTTAATCAAGACACCTGGGGCCAATTGAGATCCTTCTAGAAAGCAGCAGAGACAGCTAGGTTGATTGGGACACCTGAAGTCAATGAAGGGCTGCCTGGAACTAGTTAAAAGCCTCCCAGTTAGTCAGCTAGAGGCGTGTGTCAGGAGCTGTAGGAGGAAGCTATGCTGCTGGAGAAACTGGGCAGGACAAACCCTATCAGGCACAAGGAAGGAGGCCCTGAGGTAAGGGTGAAGTGGAAGTGGGGGCTGCTGTGGGGAAGTGGCCTAGGGAATTGTACTCGTCCTGTTTCAAAAAGTCAGCTACCAATAGCTGCTACTATTAGGGTTCCTGGGCTGGAACCCAGAGTAGAGGGCGGGCCCGGGCTCCCTCCCCCACTCTCCCTGATTAATCACAGAGACTGTAAGACAACAGAGACTGTGTGAGGGAGGGTTGCTTCTTTCCACCTCCCTGGATGTCTTATGATGAAAATGGCTCAGTAGGCTGTGACCTTGCCTCTAGAGAGAGAAGGGCTACGTGGAGGGTCACAGTGAGCCTCTGAGGCTAGCGTAATTCACCTGGAAGTGCAAGACCCACTGAGACAAGGTCAGAGCTTTGTCACAACTGGTGTTAGAGGTGGGATCAATTGTTCACAGCGTGGCGGAAGAAAGAGGTTAAAAAAAAAGTGCACTGGGGTTTTTTTGTTTTTACCACAATGGAGGAGGTGGTGAGAGCTCTGGTACAAGCCATGGCAGCCCAGCAGGAGGGTTCAGGTGATGATCCAACAGGAGTCTATGCAGCTATGCAGGAAACCAACCAATTATTAGTGGGCCAGGCGACCCAAGATCTCGCCCTCCTGCGAGAGGTAGTAAACCAGCTGAAGATCCTCACCACCCAGGCCCAGGAGTCCGATGAGATGCGAACCCTGAGGACCACTGGTTGTTTGCCAAAGATGACGACAGAAAATGATGTAGAGGCATATCTCCTCTCATTCA